GCTGCTGCTGATTCAATACGTTGACCTGGAAGTTATTCATTAAAATCTTGCAAGCATGAGGATGATGCATTGTCAGATGGTGGAGATACAACTTTTACTTTATTTGCTTCTCTACTTGATTCTGCTCTCCAAGGTGCTTGAAGTAAATTTTCTCAATTAAAATCACAATTTTCTCACTGTTTTTGCATATGGATTGGTCTCTTACGTCAATGGTTAAAGATTTTGGCCAGGTTTGAAGGATGTGTTTAAGTTGCATTTATTCATCTAACCTATGCCAGTTTATGTAGGTGTGAGATCACAAGATGTTTTCTTGAATCTAATTAATGTTTATCAATTTTGGAGCTGAGTGGATCATTTAAAAAAAAAAAATTGAACTTTAATTATTGTGGATTCAGTGACATCAAAGAGGGCAATTCATCAAGTGCATTAATCTTTTGGAGTTTCAGGAACTATTTGATTATGCTTCTGCATATGTGATGCCACTATGTTTTTGTGTTTAATTATGTGTAAATCCAAGTTCACCCCTATGTGGAGTTTTTCTGTTTGTGTCATACATTATGGTATATATCCATTTAGGATTGCATGATGATGAAATAGTGCAATGCTACTTGGTTTTTTGTTGTTTTTGGGATAGACATTTTACTTGCTAAAACTGGCATGGTAACTTTTCAAATAGCTTGATGCTTATGATCTTCTTTAGAAATGAAATTTGATTTTGACCTCAATTGAAGTTCATTTTGAGTCAACTTTTCTATCCTCTAGTTAAATTGTTATTTTACATATTACAAAATCTTTAAATTTTTGATTTATGTTATTCTGAGCCATGTCGGATGCTGATCTAGTAACTGTTTGGTGCTAACCTAATAAATATTTCCATTCCGTAACTCCTGGAGAAAGTTTTGGAGGATTTTGGACCTAAGATGGTAGACTTGAGAAGCTTACATTGATTATTGATTTGCTTCTTTGAAAGCTGAATGGATGCTTTATCTTGTTTCACATTTTAATTTACTACACTGGTGTTCAGAATTTCCTTTCTGTGCTCAAGTTTCTTCTGCCACAAAACTTATTATGAATAACATTTATGATTCCCTTGTATATCTTACAGTTGACAGTCTGTGTATCACAGGGTTGATGCCTATCCCTGATTTGATATTGCAATTTGAGAGATCTTGCCGCAATGTATCAGAGTCAATAAGGTGGGTCTCGCACTTCTCGTATATTTGTATTTCTATTGAAGAGTCTTCTTTCGGAATGTGTGCACATGTACCACTGTAGCATGTTGAGTATTGTGAATATTATTGTAGTATTTTACTTTGCATGCACGAGAAACGTATCTTTATTAGGATGAAAATAGGAGGTGGGTAGACAAGGGAGGAGGAAGTCTCATTTCTAGTTTATAAAGAAAGAAACAATGAGAAAGGCTAAGAAGCACGGACACTTCTAAGAAGGTAACGTATCCGTGTCATGTCCGTGTCGAACACCGACACTCTTTGGACACTCTTAGGACACGTGTCTGACACTCTTCAAAATATGCCCTATTTTAAATTTTTTTGAAGACCCAGACACTTTTTGAACACTTGGAGGATACACGTGTCTATTGCTTAAACACACGTGTCTATTGATTAGACACTTGTGAATCTAACTATAAGTTTGAACAAAACAACTCAAGACACAATAATAAAACAAAAACCATATAAATTTATAGGAATTAGTGTCACATTACATTTTTTATTATCTTTGAATAATATATTCATGTATATAATATAGAATAAATATATAAAATTATATATTTCATGCGTGTCCTTCACATGTTGTGTCTTGCATTTTTTGAAAATTAGCGTGTCGGCCTGTCCGTGTCGTGTCACGTGTCTGTGTCTATACTTCTTAGGAGAAAGGTCTCTGCCTAAAATATTTTGTATAGTGCACATTTTTTTTTGTTTGTAAATACTAGCTCTGAATTGTGCTGAATGAGGTTCGTAGGATGCAGTTATCATGAATATTTTGTTTTGATTTTTTCATATTAAATAAATAAAAAATAAACAAAAACCAGTTTATAAAATTTTTGTAAATATAAACTGAAAACGTAAACGTTACCAAACACACCCTTAGCATCTTGGTTGTTTGTTTTACTGTATCCTGTGCTCTACTTCCGTAGGTATGGATCCAATGAAAGACAGAGAATTGTGGAGGACAAGTTGATGAGGCAGAAGGCTCGAGTCTTACTTGATGAGGCTGCTTCTTGGTCTCTTTTGTGGTACCTATATGGGAAAGGAAATAAATCTCTACCATTAATGTTCCTATCATAGAATTGATGTTTTATATAGATAAAGTGGGCTCTACAGTGTCACCACAACAATATTGAAACTTCTTGAATGCATGCTCATTGAAGTTTGGGAAGTTCATACTTCATGATTTATGTATTGAGGAGTGAAGTATTTGTGTAATTTATCCATTCTTTGTTGGTATCAAATTATTTAGTTGTGCTTAAGAAGAAATAGCATTGTGACATTCAAAAATGATTTTAAAGTAGTTCCATGTTACTAGATTAAAGCACACTTGAAGTTTATATTTGTCAGTTACATCCTTGCTGAATATATGAGCATATAAGTGATCTGACCATTCTCTTCAACATTTACAATTAATTTGTCTCTCTTGGTCAATGTAATATTTGACCACTCCACTCTGCACCTCACCTTTTAATCCACTGTTTCAATCGGGCTAGCTATGTAGACTTCTGAGAATCTTGCTGGTTCATGGTGTAACGATCTTCATGAGACAACATTGGTATATGTTACAATATCGGATCATGAATCAGCTAGTATTAGACATCTTGGAAGATTTTTATTCCTGATTGTTGGTGCATGTCATACCTGATACCATGTCTAATTGAATACTTAGAAACCTTTACAAAGTGTTATCATTTTCCTTATTAAACAAATTTCTATTTGATGGTGAAATTGGTCATTCTTTTATGTACATTTCTCATCACATAACTTCCCACAAATTGAATTCTTAAATTAGATGATTGGCTATCCCAACATTCATCTTATAATGTTCAAACTTTAGTTACATATTTGCTCACATAGTTTCCTGGTTAGGAATAATGATGCATATTGAAGTTACTTAGTGTACTTGAATGTTTAGACAAGGTATTCTTGTTGGCTCCTGCATGTTTATGTTGGCTTGTTTTGTGAAATTATTTTTTTCATCTTCTTGCAGGAAATGAAGAACTTCCAGAAGATCTGATGCTGGTGATGCATCTTCTATTGTTAACTCTCAAGTTTTCCATTATGTTTTCTTGCTCTTATTTTGTGAGTTCATCTAATGCCTTATGACAGTCGCCTACAACTTCGCATTTGGAGGCTTGCCAGTTTGTTGTTGCAGATCATACAGCACAATTAGGCCTCCGGATTGTTCAGTGGCTTGAAGGATTAGCCTCCAAAGTACTTGATTGGGATAATGAGGTGATGACTCTGCTACTTTCTCCTGTTTTGACAGTCTAATGCTTATCCATGGTTTGTTGTTTCTTTACTTTTTAAAATTTAATTTTGATTTTGAATGTCTTTCTTGTTGCATTTCAAATGATAGTCTGAAGCTGCCAACTATTGTGAATTGATACCACAATCCACCATATACTTGAATTATTTTTTCCTTTTTCGATTAGAGAAATTATCATAGTTGAAGGTCATTTTCAGCTGTTATTATTTTTTAGTTTATTTGAGGTCTATTTTAGTAAACAAATGATTTAAGATAGTGAAAATTAACATCTTTTTTCTTTAACATGCACATCAATGAGGTGTAAGGCTTGGAGTGCCTTCTTTCCAAATTAGCAGACAATTTAGTGATCAAAAAGACTTTTTCCCTGGAGAGATTTCAGTGCACGTTAATAAATCAAATATATTATCAAGATATTGGGTGGCAAAGAAGATAAAATATGCAATAGGTTTTATGTGCTGAAATTTGAAAGCAAAAGATCTAAAGCTTTAATTTTGTATTAGTAAAAGGAGAATGTGATTTGGTAGAAAAATCAGTGACTTGCAACATTAATTGCCTGGTTGTAGGAGAGTAGTGATGGGCCCTTGGAGTGTTAAACAGGAGCAATTGTAAATTGTATTCTAAAAGCAAAATTTTGTTTTAATACATTGTAGTTCTGAAGGCTGTTTGGTGGGAAGGTTTTCAAAGCATGATATAGTCTTGGAAAAGGGAGAACTTAAGTAGATAATTATATTTAAATGGAGACTAGTAAGTCTAAGATATATAAAAATTCACATGACGATCCATATTGTAAGTTTACAACTATGGTGTGTGGTGATCAAGACATGCATGTACTTACTACAATAAGTCATCTAGAAACTAGAGATGGATTATATTATATGCATCATGGGTGAGGATCAAATGCTCGTGTCATGAAGAAATCAAAGGATGTGGAACAGTGACAACTTTACATTCAGTATTTACCCAATAAACCACACGGGAACACATTGCAGCAGATATTATTGACTGACTTGTTTTTAGGAACTGTATCTGTTTTTTTTTTTTTGGAGCAATTTATAGATATGGGAAAGGCATTGGGGTTTAATTGAGGGCTTTGAAGATAAGAATAGTCTCATCGTAAGATGAAGCGTAACAAAACTGAGGTTTGCACTATTATAGTGGAATAAATTATATTTAACTAGGGATTATTTATTTAATTTATTTTATTAGTAAAAAAGTATTGATGATATCTGCATGTGGAATAGAGGAGGTATTTTATATGATGAGAGAACAGAGAAGGAATAAAGAGGGATATAAATGCTGCATCAACTGCTATGTGAAAAATTTATTTGGTGTGCTGTGAAACTAAGAGGGTGACAGAGCAAAGGTCAAGAAATGAGACAAGAATAGTAGTATATTATGTGGTTTAGTATTATGTTGGTTATCCATGGAATTTATTGTTATGTTATGCAACTGAAGGAAAGATGAGCATCTTCATATTGTTTTGTGGCTTTTGATGGAGTCGTTACATGGGCGGCAAGAAGTCCACTGAAGTGTTCTTTTACACTAGGTTAAGGTTGCATTGGGAAGGTCTTCTTTTGGATTGATTATGATTGGATTGGTTAGGCACTTCAGGGAAGAGATCCCATGTTGTTTGCCATTTGTGATCACTAGTTTGACTAGTAGAGACTGATAGTTTAGAGCTTGATTGCCTTGATTTAAGTTGAGATGCTTTAGATTTCAATGGGTATATATGAGAAGCAAGACTAGAGTTGGTAAAAGGATTTTGTAGAACTGGGTGCAGGTGGTGAGGGTGTAATGATAATGGATAGCCACTGTCCAACAAATTACGAAGACTGCTGATTTTATCTATCAATTGTTAGATAAAAAAAGCACAGATGTAAGGAAATATCCTTAAGTTAATTTCATGATGAAAGTAAAAACATTGTTGTGTGGGATCAAGCATATGTATCGAATTGGAAGAAAGTCAATTAGGACAATGGGTGTGCTTTATTGTTGGACAAGATCCAGGAAGTGACGGAATAACACACTCATAAGGGCAAACTTTAATTAAAACAGAGGAGGCTGAAATGGATGATTGATTGATGGATGCTGGAGATTTCATTAATACCACCAGTTGTGGGATGGGTAAGCAAATGTTGACTAAGCTTTCTGGTCATGCAAAATGAAAATGGAGACGTCTTAATGAAAACATAGACTATGGGATGACAATTTTGTGGCTCTCATTCACATTGTTTTTTTAGCCCGGTTGACTTTCAGTTTTCATATTTGAACATGTGGTTGGCCCGAAGCAGAAGGATCAAACCATGATTAAGCTATGTTGGGTCCTATTATCAATAGCTAGACAGAATACCAAAGAACCATTCGGCAGCCATTTAGTCATTTATCTTCTTTGAAGAAGATTGTATTTAAAAATAATTGTTTGATTTCCTTGGTTCTTCCCTGATAGTTTAAATTTCACAATAATTTGACTGAAATTGTATTAGGAGTTCTGTGGTATGGTTGGCATAACTGTTGGTTGTCTTTGCAGGTGAGAGGTTCTCATGTTGGTACTTATCTCCCCAGCTCTGGGGTTTGGCGTCATACTCAACGTGCTCTAAAGAAAGGTGTCTCCAAACCAAAAACTGTTCATCACTTGGATTTTGATGCTCCAACGCGTGAACATGCTGAACAACTACCCGATGATAAAGTACTCTTCGATGAACAATTGTCTCAATATATATAATTTTATTTCACCGATGAACTGCTTGTGGTCTGTTGTAGTACATTTTGAATATAATTTTGATTACATTTCAATATATTAAAGTCCTTTTCACATCTGTTCAGCTTTGCAACCACGCACTGTATCTGTATCCTATGCCATTCATCTTGTTGGCTTCAATTTTCCTGAAACTAGTAGATCTATAAGATTTTTAACATTTTTTGAAATGTATTGTTTGTTTATTTATTTATTATTTGTTATAATTATTATTATTATTATTTTTTTAATATCAACAGAAACAAGATGAATCTCTTCTGGAAGATGTCTGGACCTTGTTAAGGGCTGGCAGACTAGAGGAGGCATGTGATCTTTGCCGGTCTGCTGGACAGGTATGCAAAATATTTTTGAGGTTGTAAACTTTCAGTCCCATTGTGATATTAAATTCCCTTTGGACAGCCATGGAGAGCTGCAACTCTATGCCCATTTGGAGGGTTGGACCTATGTCCATCAGTTGAAGCCCTGGTAAAAAATGGAAAGAATAGAACACTGCAAGCTATTGAACTTGAAAGTGGCATTGGTCACCAATGGCGCCTTTGGAAATGGGCTACCTATTGTGTATCAGAGGTACGGGGAAAAACATTTAATCAAAGTACTTTCTGTGAACAAACTTTCTTATACAATGATTTCTATAAATGTCGCACACAAATTCCTTGTGCTCCCTTTTTCTCAATATTTTGTGGCTCTAAGTTTTCTCTTCAGCAACTCTCATTGATTGATAAATCAAATCTTGTTCACTTTCTCTTGTAAGATTGGTAGACAATCGATGTTATTGTAAATTGTTTTCTGCTCTTGTTGTTTGGAGATTCTCAATGTTCGTAGCTTAATAAGATGCTGCCATATCTCCATTAAAAAATGGTCGATCAATTGAGTGATTTTCTTTCTTCTATGCCTTCTTATATTGAAGAGAATTGCAGAGCAAGATGGTGGGAAATATGAAACAGCAGTATATGCAGCCCAATGTAGTAACTTGAAGCGTATTCTTCCTATTTGTACAGACTGGGAGGTAATTTTTTGCTCCTTAATGATGCTACCTTCTAATTTTTTATCAGTTTTTTTTTTTTTTTGGGTGTTGAATATGGGTACCCAGGTCCATGTTTTTGAATTCATAGCATGAAACCTCAGATTTTGTAATAGCAAATTATGATCTTTGCATTTATCTTCCTCATGCTCATGTTCTTCATGTTCATCATGTTCTTCAAGAGAGGGAAACCCAGATTTTCCCGACTTCATGTCCTTGAATGTGGCCATCGAGGCCACACCTCGGCAAGGAGGTGTGGGACCTCGGCCTAGACCTGGTAGGGTATTGAAGATTTGGATGCAAAGGAGTCTAGGGAGTGTTTATCTAGGACTTCAAGAGATGAGAGATCATTGCTCAAATTAAAGTTGGAAGAGCTTGATTTTAGGGAGTAGATTTTTTGGGGACAGAGCTAAGTTGAAATGGGCAAAAGAGGGCGACATCAATTCAAGATTTTTTCATACGGTTGTGTCGGGGAAAAGGAAGAAGAATTTCATTAAAAATTTGGAAATTGGGCAAGGATTGGTGGTGAATAAGGAGCAGCAAATCATTAATGAGATTTTCAATTTTTACTCGATTCTCTATTCTGATGGAGGAGTGGACCGTCTAGGGATCGAAGGTATTTTTTGGGCTCCTGTGGATACCTTGAAAGCCAGTTGGCTCGAGAGACCCTTTGAAGAATGTTCGGTGCCTATCCAATAGGCCGTGTTTGAATGCGAGAGAGATAAGGCTCTAGGCCCGGATGGTTTCTCAATGGCAAGTGTATCAAGACTGTTGGGAGATCGTGAAAGGGGATCTTATGAAAGTGTTTGGTGAGTTTTTTGAGAGTGGAGAGGTTAACTTATGCACCAATGCATCCTTCATTTGTCTCATTCCCAAGAAAGAGAAGTCGGTCAAGATTGGAGATTTTAGGCCCATTAGTTTGGTTACATCACTTTACAAAATTTTTGGAAAGGTGCTCTCCAAAAGAATTAGGGCTGTCCTTGGGGAAATCATTTCTCCCTCACAAGGGGCCTTCGTGCATGGACGGCAAATCCTGTATGTGGTCCTAGTGGCCAATGAGATTGTTGACATTTTGGGGACACATGGACACGACAGAGACACGTATGGGACACACCGCATGGCGTGTTCCTTTATTTAATTAATTTATTTTCAGGGGACACACTAGGGACATGCCAAGTTGTCTTTTTTTTTTTTTCCATTTTATTTAGTACTTTTGATGAATGTTAAATGCTTATTATTTTTTTTCTTAGATTTAAATACTTAATAGATCATCTATAAAAAAAGATGTGTTAATTTGAAAGTGTTTTTTTTTTTTGGTATAAAAAAATATAGAATTAGAATTAGAGTTAGTTTTTGTTAATATTGATTGTTTGTGGATGTAATATTAATGTAGATAGCGAATAAAAATATATGAAAACATATTTTATTGTTGTGTCCCTGCCGTGTTTGTGTCCCCATTTTTTGGAAATCGCCATGTCCCGCGTCTGTGTCTGTGTCTGTGTCCGTGTCCGCATCCGTATTCGCGTCCGTGTTTCTTAATTGAGGAGTATAGGGGATTGCATAAAAAGAACGTTGTTTTTAAGGTGGATTTCAAGAAAGCATATGATCATGTGGATTAGGGCTTTTGGATTTTGTGTTGGAAAGGAAAGGCTTTGGGTCTAGGTGGAGGAGCTGGATTTTTGAGTGTGTGTTGTCATGCAATATGTCGGTCATTGTGAATGGTAAGCCTGGGAATTCTTTTAGGTCATTATGAATGTCGTCATGCAATGTCACCATCTTTGTTTATTTTAGTTGTTGATATGTTGGGTAGAATCATCGATCTTGCTAAAGAAAAGGATGCTATCAAACGATTTGTGGTGGGTAGGGATAGGATTGGTGTCACCCATTTACAGTTTGTGGATGACACTATCTTTTTTTACCGTCAATGGAGGGCAAGGTTGGCAATTTGCTAATGCTTTTGAGAATCTTTGAAATTGTGTCGGTGCTCAAGGTCAATCTTAGTAAGAGTAGTGTTGTGGGTATTAATTTGGAGTCTACCTATGTGCAAAGCAAAGGATGGCGGATATGCTGGGATGTCCCATTGAGTAGTTTCCTCTCAATATTTGGGGCTTCCATTGGGAGGAGATCCTAGATCGGCATCTTTTTGGGAGCTTGTATTTGTCAAAATTGGGAAAAGAGTGGAGGGTTGGAAGTGAGCTTTATTATCTATAGGGGGGGTATACTTTGGTACAGTCCTTGTTGGGTTATTTTCCTATTTACTTCTTATCCTTGTTCAAAATTCCGGTCAACATTGCGAGGAAAATTGAGAAATTGATGAGAGATTTTCTTTGGGAAGGGTGTGATGAGGGTAAAAGGGATCATCTAGTTAACTGAGAGGTTGTTTCTCTTCCTAGGGATAAAGGGGCTCTTTCTATAGGAAAGATTATTACTAGGAACATTGCCCTCTTGAGTAAGTGGTTATGGAGATTTCCTGTTGAAAGTGGGTCGCTATGGTATTCTATCATTAAAAGCAAGTATGAAGTTCGTGCCAATGGTAGATATTCTAATGTGGTTACTAGAGGCAATTGTCGTTCTCCTTGGAAGTCGATCACTCGTTTGTATCCACAAGTGTCCAATTTCCTATCATTGAAAGTGGGGAATGGGGTGAGTATTTGATTTTGGGAGGATGTTTGGTTAGGAGATTCCTTGTTCGATATAGCTTTTCGACTCCTTTACAGGGTTCATACTCGGGATGTTTCAATAGCGTCGGTGGCATGTTCTAATGTGGCACCCATTTCTTGGAATCTTGGTTTTCGTAAGAATTTAAATGATAGGCAGGCTGGTGAGTTGGCTTCTTTGTTGTCATTGATTGATGGGGTTTTTCTTTCTTCCTCTTGTGATAATAGGGTTTGGAATATCAATTCTTCGGGGGTCTTCTCTTGTAAATCTTTGTTCGATAAACTCATTGATGATCCCTTTGTTTGCTCTTCATAAGAAAATTTGGACAGTGGTTGTTCCTCATAAAGTGAAGTTTTTCATGTGGTCCTTAGTTCAGAAGGGTGTCACAGCCAATGACCTTTTCCAAAGGAGAAGGCCCAATCACTTTCTTTGTCTTCAATGGTGTGTGATGTGTAAAGAGGAACTCGGAATTGGCGGATCATCTATTTTTTGCACTACCGGGTGGCTTTTGCTTTATGGTAGCGTTTGTTTGGCCTATGTGATGTTCAGTGGCTTGCTCCACGGGACTGCATTCATATGCTTCGTGTTAGGTTCAATGGATTGGGCGGCTACAAGAGAGCCAAAACAATGTGGTCCTGCATTGTGTTTGCTATTTCTTGGACTATCTGGTTGGAGAGAAATACACAAATCTTTGACGGCAAGGAATTAGATGAGTAGGCTTTGTGAAATAGGGCGGGATATTTGGCTTCATTTTGGGCATTTGCTTCTCCTCCTCTTGAGGGAGTTTTATTTTTCTTGATTTCTAGGAATTAGGTTGCTGCTTGCCATCTCTAGTGCTAGGAGTTCAACGTTATTTGTTTTGACTGTTCTGCCTTCTCTATCTATTTGTTTGAGGACTTTTTGTCTTCTCTCATTCTTCTTTTATAATAAAATTCTTTGTTGATGCTCAAAAAAATGTTTCTTGAAACTATCGCCACTCTTTGTGTTTCGTCCTTAAACTATGACTTTTATTTATGCTAAATTACAAATCCACCCCTTGAGATTTAAGTTAAAATACGAATTGCCCCCTATAGTTTTGAAAATTACAAATACCCCCTTGCCAAAAATTTTTATGTACCAAAATTAATAGAAAAAATGAAATTCTTGATCACTCTCCTATACAACAATAAAATTGCTTGAATTTTTAATTGAAATATATTTATGATATCATTAAAAACTGTTGATTGACTTGATGATTTATTAATAAAAAGGGTCATTGGTTATGCAATTAGATACTTGAAGTGGCGAGATGTAATTTCCAGAACTACAGGGAGTAATTTGTATTTTAAGCAAACTTCAGGGGGTGTATTTGTAAGTTACCCTTTATTTTTATTTAGTTGTAAGGATTTTAATTTCAACTAAAGTAGTCCAATTGAATGTTAAAACCTAATTTGATGGGCAAAAAGTCATTTTAATAATTGAACAATTTAAACCACATGAACCCAACAATCATTTTTTTATTCGCTAATTTGAAATGAGGGTTAGAGAAGAGGATGGGTGTATAGTTGTAGAGTGTAAGTTGTCTAATATAGTTGTTGTATGATTTAGGCTATGTATGGCATAGCTAACAAATCTACATTTTTTTGCCTATTTTTTTTTTTAAAGTGATTTTTTTAAAAATTTGTGCCAAAACTTTTTATTTTTTAGGTTTGTCAAGTCTAAATGGATCTTATCCACCCAAAAAGTCTAAGTGGATCTTAAAAGTAGGAAAAAATTGAAAATTTCCAAAAAAAGCTCACTAGAGAAAAAAACTCAAAAAACACAATTTTAAAGTTTTTTTTAGTTGCTTTTCAGGTCTGTTTAGTCTAGTAGGACTTAAAAGTGAATTTTTTTTTGAAAATTTCTTTTTATAAAAGTTCACTAAAGACAAAAAAGCCAATAAAAAAACTACTAAAAAAACTATTGCCAAACCCACTATTAGGTTGTCCAAACTGTCAAATTATCTTTTTGCCTAGTGGATTAGGTTTCCCTCATTATTGATTTGGATGGAATTGGACCATATGAACTGAAATCAAATTTTTACGGATTAACTAGATAAATTGATAATTTAGGGATGAAATAGAAAAAAACGACAATAGTTTACGGGATAAAACTGAAATTAGTCCTAAAAATTATCTAGTAAACTGATACAAGAGGTGGTTGATATTGCAAATAGTTAATCTTTGTAATTTAGTTTTCTTGAACTGCTGTAATGAAAGGAGAATTAGTTGTTGACCTGTCATATTGTTATCTAGTTGAATAACTGTTTAAATGTAGTTGTAGAAGGGCAATGAAGTAGCACAATGGTGAGATGACTTTGTCTATTTTTTGATGTCACATTTACAGGGTAAAATCCGTTTTCTTTTGGGAGACAATTATATATTATTATCTTATACAAGACTACTGTAGGTACCTATACCACGCCTGACACGTGGCGAGCCCTTCGGGCGCCGCATCATTGTCATCACACCCCCACGTGGCAAACCTCTAAGGCACCACTGTCAATTGAGATTGCATGCCTAGCCTAAGTCGACGCATGCACCCCATCAAGTATGGAGAGCTCCAAGACAAATGAGCTGGGCTGTCAGCTTGCCTACG